AATCCAGACTCTCAACTCTGAAGTCTCAGACAGCATCATGATAAGACTAGAGCGCGCTCTTTAAAAAAGTTTAACATGTCTTTATTGATTTTAGAGAGAGAGGAAGGGAGAAGATAGAGAATAGGAACTTCCATGGGAGAGGGACATCGACCGGCTGCCTCCTGCGCGTCCCCCACCTGTGGATCGAGCCACAACCTGGGAATCAAACCGGGACCCGTGGGTTCAAGGGTCTGTGCTCAGCCGCTGAGTGGCACCGGTGGGCTAGTGTGTGCTTTATTTTAATGTTTCCGAGGATATTTTTATACCCTTTTGGGTATTTAAAATATGTGTATGTTTTCAGTTTTCTCACGTTTCCACATTTCTGTTCCTTTCTTTCCCCTCAATTTTATTGATGCCGAATTTTTAGATGTTTAAAGTTTCTAGTCTGTACCTCCTATCCTGTAGGTCCTTTAGTCTAAAACTAAACCTATTGAATAACTTTAAAATAAAAAGTTTAAAAACATTTCTTTATGAGAAATGAATTTAAAGTTAATTACCTTCTACCAGTGGTTGTTAAACTGTGGCTCGTGAGCCACATGCGGCTCTTTGGCCCCTTGAGTGTGGCCACGAAGTTTCAATTGCACTGTATGTGCTCACCCGGACGTGGTATTTTGTGGAAGAGCCATACTCAAGGGGCCGCAGTTTGCCGACCACTGCCTTATACCATCAAAAGCTATTTCACATAAATAAATTAGCCTGACTGTTGGGAAGGGACACCGTGAAGGGGAGTAGGTGAAATACCTTCTCCCGAGAGTGCATCCTCAGTCTTGGGCCCAGTGCTCTGTGCCCCCCGCTGGGCCCCCTCCTCCTGCAGCCTCGGCTTGTGTCTGATTTATGGAGGAGGATTTCAGGGTGCTGTGGGAGAATGGATGGGCAGTGATTCAGGGAAAAGCAGTTTAATGTATGTTCAGAATTTCTCTTGGGCTTTAGGTCATTAATCCTAAACTAGCCCTCTTTGGGTAGATTAGAAACCTGCTAATTATTTGAGTTAAATAATTGTAAAGATTCCTTTTTTGTGTGAATGATTATGTATTCGAAATCCCTCATTTCATCTCGCATAGTTGTTTTATAAATACACATTTTCAGAGGTCTTCTCTAAATATGTCCACATTTGGGATTTTAGTGTAAATGCTGAAATTAAGGATCAGCATTCCTTTAGGTTTCTATAATTAGCTTTCCTTTCTGAAGCTGAAATGAAGGAAGATTAAAGACTTCTCAAACATAGTTTAGCTTTTGGCTTAAAGATCCTAACATTTATCCAAAGTTTTAAAAAGTACTACTCTTTACCTGTCTCTTGATTGCTCAATATTTAGTCTGTTTTTCTATTTTTTATATATAAGTATAGGAGTGTTTGCCTCACTCTAAAAATTAATGTTTATAAAGGTTTTTTTAAATTTAATATTTTTATTGCTTTCAGAGAGGAAGGGAGAGGGAGAGAGAGATAGAAACATCCATGATGAAAGGGAATCATTGATTGGCTGCCTCCTGCACGCCCCCTACAGGGGATCGAGCCCACAACCTGGGCATGTGCCCTTGGCTGGAATCGAACCCAGGACTCTTTAGTCCACAGGCTGACGCACTATCCACTGAGCCAAAGTGGCGAGGGCTATGAAAGGTTTTAAGAATGCATTATAATGTAAAGTGTGCAAAAGAGGGAAACGATAGTATATTTATAGGGAAAAGGCTGAATGGAAATATAAATCCCAAGCTGGTGGATGGCTGCCTGGTCTGCCTGTAAGAACTCCAAAGGAGCCCCTCCCCCATGGTATCAGCCGATCCTGCTGACCCGCCACCCTCCTGCTGGGCAGCGTCCTGCCTGCCTGCTTCTCCCGGGCAGCAGGGCCCGGGCCCAGAAGGTGCCCTTCTCCGCCCCGCTCTAGGCAGCTCTTGTGTTCTGATTGTCTTCGCTGCCGTGGACCCACCTTATCCTGTCGCAGTCCTAGCAATGGGTGGAGTTCCTGCCTTCGCTCACTTTAGTTTTAGTTTGTATTTTGGTGTGTTTTTTTAGAGAGAGTGGAGGGGAGGGAGAAGGGGGAGAGAAACATTGATGCAAGAGACACACATCGATTAGTTGCCTCTGGCATGTTCCCAGACTGGGGCTGGGATCGAGCCCGCAAGTGAGGTACGCGCCCTTGACTGGGAACCGGCACTCTAACCACTGAGCCCACTGGCCGTGCGTGTGTGTGTGTGTGTGTGTGTGTGTGTGTCTTCCAACTTTCGTTCAGTAAATGCTTATTTACACTTGAGGAAGCTTAGCTTTTTTGTACAAGAAGTAAAAGCTCTTTGGACTTAGATGGCAAAATGCTTACACTTACTCCCCTTTCAGCTTCCTCTGTGGCCTGCTGTGGCGCACACTTGGTTTCCCTTTTCCTCCGTTTTGCTTTCCAGGCTTCTGTGGCTTGGAGCGGTGCCTCCCACCCCCAGCTCCACCCTGGCGGGGCGACCAGGCTGACTGCGTCCTGCGTGTCCCCTGCATGTCTCAGTCCCCACAGGCTGGCTCCCTCGTCTGCCGTTGAATGGTTGTGTCAGCTGTTGCCCTGGCCCCCACACCTGTAAGGTGGGACGGTGATGTTATTTATCCCACAGGTTGTTCGCAGACTTGCATGGACTGACACAGCCCAAATGTGTTAGCAAGCATTTCATAAAGTTTTGGTTTATCATTTGTTGCTTCCACGTCTACATTGCTTGCTGCTAATGGCCCTTTCTGTGTACACTCACAGACACAGACACACACACACACAGATTCTTTGATGTGCATTTCTATCCCCTATTTAATTGTAAGCCCCCCCCCCCAGCTTATCGAAGCATAATTGACAACTAGAAGCTGCACATATTGAGGGTGTACAGCACTGATTTCATATGAACGCTGCTGAGGTGGCGACTGGGGGCGTCCCCACATTGTAAGGGGAACTGAAGAGAGCAGCACAGTCCGCCCATCGGCAAAGGAGCGCACGTGCTGTTGTTCCGTGTTCACAGAAGGCGTGTTGCTCTCCGACTGGAAAACACAATCCATTCATCTCTTCTGCATGTTAAAGATCGTACTGTACCAATGGGTAAACTATTACATGCTTATAAAACTGAAAAAACAGATGCCACTGGAATAAGATAAGAACTTAAAAATCAGACCTTTTAAGATAATCTTCAATGCTTTGATGAGATGAAAGTCCCTGGCACGCGCCTGTTGTGGAATGTGCTGGATGAACAGCGCTGGGTGTCCGTGGGCATGACACCTCCTGGGGAGCGACTAGGCTCTGGGGGGCGGGGCTCTGAGCGTAGACAGGCTTGTTTCCAAGTGCGGCTGGAAGGAGTTGGGCACCTGATCCTAAATGAGAAGAAGAGGGACCATTAAACATACTGATGCTTAGACTTTCCCCAGTTGTCTCAGCTTTTGAGAATTTCATGTTTGAGGAATTTTTGTTTCAACAACTTTCCTACTAATCCTCGCTTTCTGAGAGTTTTTATTATTATTGGATGTAGAGTTTTTATCAAAAAGCTTTTTCCCATATTTGTCAAACCAAACGGGTTTTCTGCTGTGTTCTGTAAATATGGCAAGTTACGTTAATTGTTTTCAAACGCTAATCTTGCACTTCCGGGATAATCTCGTTAGTGTCCTCTCGTCCCGTTCCTTACGTGGCTGAGATCCATTTGCACTGTGTGTGGAGGGTTTGCATTTGTAGATTTGTGTTCTCGAGGGTCTTGCTCTGCACTGGACTCTTTTGGGGAACGTCTGTCACCTTCTCCCTTCACCCGCCCAGCATCACCAGTTTCACTGTTCCCTCTCCCCCTCCCCTTCACGGCTTTCTCGCTGGCAGAGCTAAACAGCTTCAGTGACACCCCCTGCACTGGCCTTTGGAGGTCTCCAGTGGAAAGTGACGGGGGGCCTCTCACCGTGTGGAGGAGCCTGTCGATCCACGCACCTGCCGCCCACGCTCAGCTTCTGCGCCTTTGCTCGGGGCCTCGTGTCGCTTGGTGCCTCGTGCTCCGTAGGCAGGAGCGCCCAGGTCCCCGGTGCGGGGGGGCCTAAAGCAGCCAGCAAAGGGTCCCGTGATGCCAGAAACAGAAGAGAGCTAAAGGGCAAAACGGGGGCGGAAGACATGGTGCCGCCAAAGGGGAAACAAAGGCGGCGGCAGTAGCAGGAAGAAAGAGCGGAGAGCCAGAAAGAGCTGGGGAGTTAAAACCGCCGCCCGGGCAGGGATCCCAGGTCAGAGTGGGAGAGGGAACGAGGAGTGGACCCTGTGCGGGGCCGGGCCACACGCCCAGCGAGCGGGGAGTTTCCGGTCGAGGAGGAGGACTGCTTGGTCCACGTGGCCCTGCGTGGACAGTGGCTGGGGGGCTTTGCCTGGGGTGTGCTCCATGTCTGCAGACGTTAGTGTGATAAGCATTGCTCACGGGGCCTAATTGCGGACTGTTCCCGTGGGTGGAGCCCTGCTCAGATCCAGCCCGTCCCCGCGTGTGTGGCAGGCACTTCTGTGATCACGTCGCCCCGGTTTTTGGGGGGAGGGGGGGTAGATGCAGGACCTGCTCTCGGAGCTGTGGCCGTGAAACGCGCTGAGACGGATGAGTCACCTGGGTCAGTGGGCAGCATGTGCTCAGTGCTCTTTAAAGAGTTGCTGTTAGAACCACCAGGCAGATGGGCTAGTATATGTGGATGGCGAAGAAAAAGATACACGTAGAAGTAACAAAGGCCTCCTGGGCTCATGGGAGAGCTCACCAGACGGATAGCTAGCTTCCTGTTGCCACAGTCTTTCACCAACATTTCCCGTGCCCATTGACGTTAAGAATCTGCAGAGCATGAATGAATGAATGAATGAGCCCCTTAGTGGTAGCTTTCACTTATGGTGCTGAACTCTAGCTCCGGTATCGGAATCGGTCTTCTGATCATTAAAGAAACAGCATGCTAGTGTGTTTATAAGTATATAAGAATGAAGTTTTCACAAACTTAAATGTTTTATTTCAATTACAGGCGTCGATTAGCAAGGTAGAAGTAACAGAACCATGGCTCAGTTTCCAACGCCTTTTGGTGGTAAGTTTTCAAAGGTCCTCCTTTTTAAATGTATTTTGGAACCATGTATTAATAACTTAGTATTGTGGCAAATTTCAGATGTACACATAAGTAAGGGAATAATATAATGAACCCATCTTACATGTGCTCATCCCAGAGTTTCAGTGATGAGCAGCCCATGGCCAATATTGTTCCATCTGGATTCTTTAGAAGCAACTCTGAGGCATCAAATCATTTCATTCACAAGTACTTTATACATGTTTCTAAAAGATAACACTTCTACAGGTATAATTCAATGCCATTAGTATCCCTGCACGTTTATAGCAATGCCTGATGGCAGTGAGGCTGTTAGCCGGCGGCTGTTGGCTGGGGTTTGTTCAGATTGGATCCAAACAGGTGTGTGCGCTGCAGTTAGCGCCCGGGTCTCCCTCCGTCCCTGGGTCGCCTTTGCAGTTTATTTGTTGAGGTGACCGGGTCACTGATTCTGTACTGTTTCTGAAGCCTGGATGTGAAGTGTGACACTTTTTAAAAATATATATATTTTATTGATTTTTTACGGAATGGAAGGGAGAGGAATAGAGAGTTAGAAATATTGACAAGCGAGAAACATCGATCAGTTGCCTCCTGCACATCTCCTACTGGGGATGTGCCTGGAACCAAGGTACCTGCCCTTGACTGGACTCAAACCTGGGACCCTTCAGTCCACAGGCCGACGCTCTACCCACTGAGCCAAACCGGTTAGGGCTGAAGTGACACTTTTATTTGTTTCACTTTATCTGCTTAAAACATCCTATCGCTCTGCATGAAATGTGTTGTTGGGTGACTTTTCCTAACTTTATTAGGAACGTGTGGAACAATTATTTCTGCTCACTGGCTAAGGATTCTTTCTAAGAGCAGGTGCCACGCTGATGGCCCGCGCTGCTGTCCGTGTGGTCACCGTGGAGAGAGGCCATGCTGGGCCCACCTGTGAAGTCCCTGTGGGACTCCAGTCCAGAAGGAAGTCGGCAACGTTTCCCAAACCATTCGTGTTATTTATCTTGGGTTTTGATTTTGTCCGCCTTTAATTCCTTTTTTATTTGTTGTGTGTTTTTGGCTTACTTCTCACAGGGCAGTAAACAGCCCTTCCAGAACAAACAGGACTATCAGGCCGGGGAGGGAGGGACCAGGTCAGAACCGCCCCCGCTCCACCCCGATGCCTAGCCCAGTGCTGGGCACCCAACTGTTCAGTAGTCTGTCTCCCGCGACCGAGCGAACCGCCGCCACCTGCCGCTGCCAGCGCAGACGCCCTGGCAGGGTTGGCGGTGTCCAGACACGAGGCTTTGTGCTGGGCATCGCCACCCGTTGCCTGGAACACGCACATGGCGTCTGCTCCCACCTTCTGGGGCGTGTCTGACATTTGAGAACCTCTGCCTGTGGCTCTCACATACTTGGGTGACTTTGAGGAGACCAGGACTGAAGGGAGAGAGGTCTCAGAAGCGAGGGGACTTCTGCTCAGTCGCAGCTGCAGCTGAAGGAGAATCTGAATCCCATTGTCTTTGGCTTGCCGTTAAAAAAAATAGCCTTAGAGAGGTGTAGTGTATAAGCCGTCAAACTCACTGATCCTCACCGTGCAACGTCAGTGTTTCTCTGTAAATTTAGAGAGTTGTTCAGCCATCACTAGAGTCCAACACCCGAGTGCTTTATCGCCCCCAGGAGGTTCGCGCACTCACTCGGATTCTGACTGAGCGCAGCTCCTTTCATAACTTTCGCCTGTGGCATGTAGGATGGTCTGTTGCGTAAGTGTGTGTAAGTGAGCGATGAGTAACTCCCTCTATCTCCATGCAGTCCCGCTAACGACAGGGCGATAGGACAGTTGCTATAAACAGAATTGGTGCCAGTTCCTTTTTGGGTGGGAAGGGCTGTTTACGCTTAACTTTCTAGCTGTGTGTGCATTACTTCCAGGACAAACAGTGCTCATGTATCGAATCATTGCTAACATGTTGACATACTCTTCATGCAGTAGGAATAGTTCATGCGAGGGCCTGGCGTGTTCTTCATCATTCAATAACGCCCTTGTCTTTCCTCGGACTGCAGGCAGCCTGGATGTCTGGGCCATCACCGTGGAGGAGAGAGCGAAGCACGATCAGCAGTTCCATAGCTTGAAGCCAGTTTCTGGATTTATCACTGGTAATTGCGTTGGCACTTTTGCATTTTCACTTCTCAGTGGTGCATGTATTTTGGAGAACCTGCCAGCGAGCTAAGGTGGCTTACGTAGGACTGAGGGCATAGTTACCCATCTGCCTTCTCCTTGACCTGCCCCGTGACAGTGGCTTTTCCAAGAATGCATTCAAGCCTTGTTTGCAGTCTTAAGGAATTCTCTTATTTCCTGTGTCCCTGAAGTTCCTTCTGAACTTGGCCTTTCCTATTATCTTTCCTGTTTGCTTTCAGGAAAATGAGATCTAGATTCCCTGGGGACTTGTTTTTGTCTCATAGTTCTTTTTAACTTATTAAATCTTAACCACTGATGCGATTGTTAAAAACCGTTGTTACTTATTCTCCGTAAGTGCAAGAATCGTTGCTATCGGGAATGACAGATACCCTTTTAAAAAGCAGAGACAAACTCCTCACTTTCTGGAGGGTCCCTGCAGATGTGCTTGTCACACGTGTGGCTGTTACCATCCTGGTTAATAGCAGATGAATTCATGTCGACAGTGTCCGCCCACCAATGGCCGTCCCTTTGAGATGCTGGTTTTAAGGCGCTGAGCTCCGAAGTCAGTGCTCATGGCGGGTGTTCCTGTCCTTGTGGACTTGCTGTTTGGCTTCTATCACATTTCAGTGCCATGATCACAGGGTTACCAGCCTCTTCCTTAGTTTTGCAATATTATTGTAAGAAAATATCTACTGTGGTTTAGCTGTTGTTTTGTTCTGAAACTTTTCCCACTTACTTTACAGGTGATCAAGCGAGAAACTTTTTTTTCCAATCCGGGTTACCTCAGCCTGTTCTGGCACAGATATGGTAAGTGGGAACCTCACATCCTGGAGATGAATATTCTAGGGATAGAATTTCTTACGCTGCGGGAGGAGACCGTCCATCTCCAGGCCGGACACTCGCTGCTTCTCACCAGAGAGACACTCGGGAAGGAGGTTTGTCACGTGGAACTAAAAAAAGGGTAACATTTGCCAGATAATGCTGTCAAGAAGTTGGAATTTGCAGTGGAGAAATCTGCATTTTGGTATTTTCTCACTAGTTTGTTTTAACTTCACCCTTTCTCATCTGAATGTCCCACAGTTCTTGCTTTATTATGGAATGGAATGGCTCTGTATCTTCCATTGAATAAAAGGCAGCGCGCGCACACACACACACACACACACACACACACACGGGTTAGTAGGAAATAGTGCTCCGAAATAGAAAGCTTTCCCGGGAAATGCAGATACGTTTTGTATGAATATATTCATGCTGAAGCCAAATGGCACCCCATTCCTGTGCTTCTTTGGTGTCTGCTTTATCTTCCTTCTTGGGCTGTTAGCATATTGGCTGCCAGACCTCTTCCCACCACTGAGCCTCCTGGCTCCGACCTCTGATCTACTGTGAGCTTGGGAAATCAAATAACCAGGAATTTCTTTTAAAATTTTTTGGAATTACTTTTAAAATTAAGTAGAAAGCAGAGAGAGAGAGAGGAGAGAGAGA